TTATTTACACCGAACGAATTCGACGTTGTTTATGGTCTCGATGCAGGAAATGGGCAAAGGAGAAAATGATAACGGCACATATTGTTTGGTCAAATTTATCGGAATTGTGACAATGAGGAGTTAAATGGAGAAAGGAAACTCACTGAACGAGCGGAATGCAGAGTTGAAAGAATTTTCAGTTTATCAGTGATTGTGAGGTCCTTCCAAGCATCTTCTGATTTTTGAGGTCAAATCAAATAGAACGCTTTAAATTATACGATTGAGTCGGTCATAAATTGACCTCCTAAAAATCGCTGGAGATGGTTGTCGTGACTTTTTCTCTTCTCGTCTGCGCAAATTTTCCTTGCCGCCCGTGCTTCGCAATGCTTCCTTTTGATAACATAATTACTCAAAAGCATACGGCATTGAATACGGCAAACATTTTAAATGTGACCGTATCATAATCGGTTTGTTCGTTCGGCATGTCAACACGACTTTTCGATAATTTTCTCTCTCTCTCTCTCTCTCTCTCTGTTCTCGCTCTCACTGTCTGCACATAAATTCGACTTCTTCGTTTGATAACCGTGCACGGATTCGGCTTGGACTCGTCTTCGTTGTTGCCATTTAACATGGGTTCGGTTTTTCGTCACCGTTGATAAATTATGAATTAAAAAATTACATAAATTTCATCGATTAAATGTCTTGTTATATTGTTCGGTTCGATTTCCTATACGAACTTTTGTTTGGGGGGGGCCGCGCGAGGGAAATACGCTGCACGCTTAGTAAACCGAAAAATCGAGTGCGTATATCCATAATAAGCTGGAAAAAGGCCGATACGATGCCAAAAGAAAAGTTGTTGATAAAAAGGCAATGAATGTGCATCGAATGAAAAGACTGAAGAGAGAAAAAAACGCAGCCGAGAACATGGAATTTCGAAGAGAAACGAATAAATTAAGTCAGCGCAACGAAAAATTTCAACACTCCACTGACAACACTTCACTTGGTTGTTTTTTCTCTCGTAAATTCTTAAGCGATATTCCATTGACTAGCTGTTAAAAGACACGCACATTCGACAAAATGACGTGCAAAATGCGATTGCAACCATCCATGGCCATATTTTTGGGGCTGGCGTATGAATGATATTTATTAATTGACTGTTTACTCTCACGAATCGAGCGTGATTTGCACATGTGATACGCAAGATGACAATCGATATACGGTTGAAGTGTGTGGCGGCTGTGCTTGAAAAGCCCACATTTCAGTTTTATTTTGGAACGAAGCCGATACAATCTTGAGTGAGTGAGTATTTGCCTAAAGTAGACCATTCACAAGTGCAGCGTTAATGCACGACTATTCTAAAAATATCCACTTTCCATTCCAATTAAAGCGCATCTTGTTCGGTTGTCAGCTTGCGGTCAGTGATGATGATGATGATGATGTTCATGAAAAGTGCGTTGATAAGCGTATGTCGCCTTCGTTTGATTCATTTCCTCGTCGCTCAAAATATGCAGGGTCATTTTGGTCAAACAAATGCGCGATAGGTCGCGATTTCACATTTCTTTTCTATTGTCGTCAACGTTTTCCGCGTCCACAAAATGTGTCGAATCATTCGGCCTTTTCAGACATTCCGGTAATATGATCAACTTCTAAATGATAATAGTTTATGACCATGTCTTCTGCACATGCTTTTCTTTTCTCTTCTTTTTCATCTGTAAGTGAATCTTTGGCGTGGTCGTGCGCTCAGATAATCATCGCAGTTTTCGGTGTAAGTTGGTCAAAAATGTTTACTTTTTTTTCGGCACATACATATGTCCGACGGAAGCGAATTCAAGCAAAGATTGGCTCCCATGATATAGGCGCCCGAAAACTTTGAATTTACGATATTTTATTAAAGTTAATTAATAAAATGTGTGGCCATCATGCGGAATTGTGAAAGCGCGCGCAAATTACGGTTTATGAATTTTTAATGAAAATGACGTTTGTATGGGAACCCGATGGAGATAAGCGCGCACATTTTTTGGTGTGCCATTTCTTGGCTGGAAATTTCGCTAACATAATTTGGTTAGTTCAGCACACAGATGACGAACGACCCTAACGAAATTCGATTTTTATCTGTCTAATTGAATATTTATCGATATTACACGGAAATATTGAACAACACGACCGATAATCGTGTTTTTTCTTATGAGCTACAGCATAAAAAAACTCATGGAGACACGGATTGATGACGGCGTAGACCATTTTCAGAATCGAAAACGATGTTGACATTAAAGCACACAGTGGAATTTGTAGTGAAAACATAATTTAAATCAAATTACATTGAAAGTGACTACATCAACCGCGTCCAAACAAAATACCTTGTGAATAGATTGCATCTCGGTCGTATAAGTGTATGAGTGTGTGCCACAAGCGTGATAAAACAAATACCAAAATGGATCAAAACAAATAAACCAACATACCGAACCGACTGAGTGATACAATTTATCAAAAATATTTGATAATTTTTCATTGTTGATGGCATTCGCGCCTAATCTACCAATGAACTGGTTTCTGCGTTTCAATTCGATTTTCTCTTCACTCACTCAATGCTAATGCCTGTGTGCTAGCTTAACGGTATCGTTGCGCGCTACTGTTCTTTATGCATTTTTAATGGACCTGCTGCGAGATCCGAATGCGTAGTTAAAATCGAATTAATTCGATTATTTCGATTAAAAAAATGTGTTGTGCATGTTCATGAATTGTTCCACATTTTCATTACATTTCGAAGCAACCAGACAGAGCAAAGAAGTACCGTGCGATGATTCGATATCGATTGCATTTTAGTATTCTTTTATCGCATTTCATTCTCCAAAAAGATTAATGGAATTGAACTGAAATTCCAATTCCGTAAAAGTAATGCTCGGGATTTTTCAGGTGACAGTAGTCATCGCACCATCATTCAAATTAGTCATTGGCTCGTCTTCGACAAGTAAACCAAAAAACGAAAAATATGTCCGAATGGAATTTATGGCAATCAATTGAAGCGGCTCTTCGGCTGCAACGCATCTTATGTGTGTCACCGTTTTATCTGGATCGTTCAACAGGAAAATTGAAATCGTCTTGGATGGTTAAACTCTATGCTTCATCAATTGCATTGAGTCTGCTGGTCATCATGTATTTTGCTACGTTTCACTGGAATTTCATGGATAATTTAATTGCACTCGTCCCGAGCGGATTGGTTTGGCAAATTTTGTGCTACTATGGAGTTGGTTCCATGAATGTTCACTTCGTTCTTAACATGTTCGTCACTGCGATCGGTCCGAAGCAACACATGGCATTTTTGGAGAAAATTCATTCGATCGATGAACAATTTCAAGATGAATTCAATGCAAGTGTTAACCACAAAGATTATAAACGCAATTTATCCTATAGTTTAGCCATAATCTGTATTTGGAGCGGTATTCAAGTGATTGGGCTAGCATGGTTTATTAGTATCACTGGTGAATACGTTTTGTTTCCACCCACATTCGTCTTTACTTTACAACATTTCTGCATGAGTGCACAAGTTTACACATTGGCCAATTACTTATTTCTCCTTCAATGAAGATACCTCCTAACACTTTCGGTTTATCAACGAATCCATTGTGATTATGTGCGCTATTTGAAATCAGAAATATTCGACGAGAATATGGAGCACAGGTTTTTGATGCAACTTTTTAAAATACTCGAACTGTTTCGCGACATAACTCGACTGATCGCATTATTCAATGACACTTTTGGGTGGAATTTTGCCAATCATATCATAAGAACATTTACGAACAATTTAATGCAATTGTATGTGATTTTTCTAACACTCTCCGATGTTGAAACGAGTAAAAACGAAATTTTGATGGCTGTTTGTTTTGTTTATACACTTTTTGGTGAAGTTTTGTTAATGATTTGCATGACCATTGCTGTTCACTCGGTTTATGCAGTGGTAATATGTTACTAATTGAACTCTGAAAGACTATTGCTCCCATGACCATTTGAAAATGCTTTTTTTTCTTCTTTCAACAGGTTGATAAATGCAAATACGCTATCCGACGCTTCGACAAGAACAGTAAGAGCAAAAATATCAGACATCTGGTAGGATATGACCGTATACACTCTCAAAAATCAGCCATATCTGTTATTAATATACCTTGTAGTAAACGCGTTCATAGTGTTTCACTGTAGTAGCAAAGTATCCTATTAAATTCCACTGTAGTATTACTACAAGAAAATTTAATAGGTAACACCGCTACTACAGTGAAACACTATGAACGCGTTTACTACAAGGTATATTAATAACAGATATGGCAGGATTTTCGAGAGTGTACATAATAAAATACTCTGGCTAAAATTGAAAAGAACACTTTTGGATTAATATTCCAATCAAATATTTCATATTTCAAGTGCGCAGATTTCGAGATGTGGTCGCTGAATTACAAAATTGAATTCACTGTCAAACACTTTGTCCCAAACAATGCCGGATTTTTATTTGCGGTAAAATTTTAATTAAAAAAAAAACTTCGCATTCTTGATCAAATATCATTCAATTAGACATTTGTAGACATTAGACGATAATCATTTTTATCCCAATTTCTAGTGTTGGAGCGGTCTGGTCACTTATCTCTTGTATTTGGTTCAATTTAAAATGCAGGAAGATGAATTAGCCCAAAAAGAATGAAGATATCTCCTCTAGTTTCATTGATTTGTTCCTGATTTTTCGTTCTATGATATATTTTGAATGAAATTGCACGCATTCATTGAGCACAAATAATCACATTTTATTAATTTAAAATTTCAGTTTACTGAAAATTGTTCAGCCGTTTCTATTGAATTTCGTGTTTTGAATTTGTCATTTGAAACTTTTTCAAAATGAATTTAATTGCACAAAAGTTTGTGAGTCAAGTTTTAATCAGTTTTCAACTGAATGTGAGCGGAATAGTCTGTACGCCATCTATGTGTCATGGTAAGCATTTTTTTTGTCGACATTTGGCAATTTATCGCGCAAAGCACATGTGACTTTGACATTTCCCGATGTAAACAAATAATAAACTCAATCAAATTTGCAGTGTTCATTCTTGGATAATAATTTCGAAATTGTCACAGAAATTATGGTTGATTTATATTCATGGGTAAAAATTGCGAGAGATTTCTTTCATTTGCACACAATATTAACGTAATATCATTCAAACAGGGTGCAAATTCCCATGGTCAGCTCGGTTTGGGTTACGACTCAGAAATGTGTACAACGCCACAAAAGGTTCCATTGAATAGTGATTCAATAGATTTGACGAATATACAGAAGATGCAAGGAGGCGGTGGACATTTGTTGTTATTGGATAAGAATGGTCGAATGTATGGTTGTGGTTGGAATGGCAAAGGTCAACTAGGTCTCTGTAACACAGTCGATTCACATTCAATTCAGCCGCTGCTAAAAACCGATTCGCCGATCGTTGACATTGCCAGTGGCTGGGACTCAACAGCAGCTATCGATCAAAAGGGCAATCTATACGTTTGGGGTTCGAATGCATTTGATCAACTCGGATTTTCTTCCCAATTTATTGATACATTCTTCACAATGCCAATGCTCTTGAACCTACCGTCCAATGAAAAAGCGAAAAAAGTTTGTTTTGGTTTGCGTTACATGTGTGTTTTGTGTGAGAGTCAAAACATTTACATCGTTGGACGATGGCGATTCCTAGACACCTGTGCCGAAGTAATTATGCATAATGATACAAATTTTTACAAACTATTGACACCGGCTAATCTAACGATTAAAGACATTTCAAGTGGTTCAAATCACGTCGTCTGTGCGTGTACAGATGATGGGGTGTCGGTTGTAATTATTGGTTTCGGCGACAATAGATTCTTGCAATGCAGTGAGAAGAGATTAGAGAGTGATGATATTTGCTATTTGCGTAGCGGTTGGTCTCATAATGGCATATTGACCACGAATGGCTCGGTTTATTTATGGGGACGAAATACCTACGGTCAGCTGGCTAATTCGCAAGCCGATAAATACGATGAATTCCTTGAGTTGAAAGGTGTTCACGGAAAAATCGAACAATTTCATCTTGGCTCTGAACACGGACTTGTTGTCAACGAACAGAAAAATGTTTTTACCTGGGGTTGGAATGAACATGGCAACTGCGGCAATGGAAATGAGGCAAATCTGTAAGCAATACTCAATACCTGTGTGAAATTCAACACTTTTTTCTAATCTCTTTGCATCTCTTCCAAAAGGTTCGAATCATATCAAGTGCAATTACCGGGAAAATGCATTCAGAGCACAACTGGTGCTGGATTCTGCTATGCTCTCGTTCACCATTCGGATGATTAATATTTTAATACTTTGGCTTAGCTGTGATTTGCACGCACTTTGGGCATTTTGTTTTGCTAAATAATTGTAAATATTTTCGGAGAACGAATAAAATTTTGACGAAAATTCATTACTCTTTACACAAAAACAATGCTTCATAACAATGAGCTGTGAAGGTATTATATTTTTCAACGCATTCGAGGTTATGTGTGTCACCACTTCGAAGTTTAAGTAGTCATTGAATGCGTACAAAAAGGTATAAAAGAGTCCATGCAATACAGCTTCTATTATTAGTGAATTGACGTTCATTTGTGCGACACCACTGTTTAGAGAGAAAATTTGAAACATTCAAACAATAGCAAATATAATTAACGCACAATTCAGTTCATTGTTTTAGCAACCGATAAAGACAAAAATCCGAATTGTTCGAGCGACCGAAGAAATTTCATTGAAAAATCAGAGTTGGAATTTGAAAGGACAATGGACACCGGGGATCGATTGAATATTGCATTTATTGAAACTACTCTGAACGAATCGATGCGCGTTGAAGTGGATGATCTCGATACAACCGTTGTTGATGAGGCAACAAGGTAAATAATATTTTTATTTTTCGATCAACACAAAAAACGATTCACAAAATGGTTTTTTGTTCAAGTTTTTTTCCCATTGCTTGTTTTGTCTTTTCACAACCATTTTTCATTCGAATGAATGAACGATCGTTTTCTTTATAAAAATATTTTCCTCTAAAATTGTGATTAAAGAAATATTAATATATTTTTCGTTCATTTCAGACTTGCTTTTCATTGTTCTACGCCGGTCAAAGAAGTCGATGGCCAAAACCGAGCACAGCTATCATTCGATGTATCATGCAATGCTGACATGATCGCCGACGCCGATGTCACTCAAATTTGCGACGCGATGGTCGATATCGATGTAAAATCCAAGTAACCATAGCGAAGTCAAATAGATAACAAATAAACAGGGACCTAAACATCAACAGTAGATACGAAAATATGTAATCAAAAGATATATTTTAAAAAAAATGAATAAAAGTTGAAGAAAAATTCAAAAAGAAAACAAAACAGCTATTGAATTATTTGGAATACGAAGACAAAAGATAAAAATAGATGACAAAAGTGGAAGAAAGAGAGCTGAAACCAAAACCAATCTAAATCGTTGCATTGTTAACGATGCGAGTTATTTGTTTACTTGGCATCTCTTTGCTTGTATTTTATGAGTGTCACTCTTAATGAGCATTGCTCTATGTGCTAATCGTTTTTTGTACTTTGACATGCAGATTATAATGACACACAACATTTCACACTCTGAACTTTTTATTTGTAGCAAACAAATTGAAGAGACATAATATCTTATCGCAATCGAGTTAACCTTTTGACAAACGATACACAAATTGCTACATTCGTTCTCGTGCCATCGACTGATGAACATCGTCGTCTTTGATCATCTCTGAAAGACAATTTTTGACCATTTTTTCTCGTTCTTCATTTATTTTTTTCGTTTCGTTTTTTGGTGATTTTTTCTTAATTCGTCGAAATTGAATTTTTTTTTCAATTTTCCAAAAATGACGAAAATGATTATGTGCAAAGATTTGGAGCGTGAATTTTTCAAAAACATCAGTCCAACGGAAAGCAGGTTCGTAACATTTTTATTCCAATTTGTTGTAGAATTTTTTTTTTCGATGAAATTATTTTTGTTCAATTTTGTTGTTTTCTTTTTTTTTCTTTTCAATTTTTCAATTTTAAATTAAAGCGATTTTTCTTTTCCAATTTAATTCATTTTTCTTTTCAATTTTAGATCATCAACTCCTGTGCCACCAATGGAGTCAGAAGATGAAAGAGCCGCTCAAGCCAATTTCCAATGGTTCTTGTCTTCGCTATCAGTGCCATTGAATCGAGACGCACATCCATTCAAAGCGATGCCGAATAATCAGCAAAGTGTAGAAGACAGTTTCGGCATGGGTCTATCGTTAGTTGCAATGTTATGCCGTCTCAAAGTGGAAAATGATCGTCGGCAATTGTATTCAATTATCTTCGAAGGACCCATTTCAAACCGTGGCAAAGTTCGTTTGAATTGAATGTGAACGCAAAGCAAGCATGCTGGTTTCAAATGTGTAACAGTGAAAGAGTGTTGATGTACAAATCCTTGGTTTAAATCATTGCTAGTGCTATTTTAACCACGATATTATCCTTTAGTTAGAATTATATGCTAAGTTACAAAAAAATGGAAAAAAAACTGTGGAGAAAAATCGGCAAAAATTCGTAGCGATAGGTATAAAAAGGTAAAGATGTATTTGCATAAAAAGGTCGTACACATTTGTGTCGTGCAAAGACTCAATCAACATTATAACGGCAGCGAACCGAGCAACAAAAACCTAGCAACGTCATCACAACGAACCTGTTAAATCGATAAATTCACAATGTGCACCGCCCATGATGTTTTCATATATTCAACACACAGCAAATGGATAGGCCTCAGTTTTGACAGAACATTCGCAGAAACAGAACGCAGAAAAGTTTTTTTTTTTTGGTTGCATTGTTTGGCTGTGGAAATCTACTGAAATTTGGACGATTATTTTATTTGTTCGCACCAAAGCGTCGCAGTTTTTGTAACATTCCTCATCATTTTAAAACGATAAATAGCATAATGTCGGACCTAAAATCGGAAATTAGCAGCGATATCGATCAAAACTACTCTATCAATACAGCTGACCCGAAAAATGTACAAGAATTAACTATTTATGTGAGTATTTGATTTCACTGATAAGACAACATAGATTTTCTTGGCGACAGCTGATATTCATTATGAATTTGTGTACGAATTTAGGTGCAAACATTGCTGCAAAATGTACAGGATAAATTCCAATCGATGTCGGATCAAGTAATTTCACGTATTGATGACATGTCAAATCGAATTGATGACCTGGAAAAAAGTATTGGCGATCTTATGACACAGGCTGGCGTTGAGGCACCAATCGGCAAAGAGCCATAATCACTCGATGTGGGCACTCTATCTCATCAACCACCACCACCACCATCACCACCACCCCAATAAAAAAGCATTTTATAAGTAAGGCATTATTCGTACAATCTGATGAAGCACACACAAATTAACAGCCCATCACGGTTAAATCTAGTGTAAAACTTATTTATAATTACGATGTATTGTATGAACACCAAACATTCGATTTAAGAGCAAATTTTACACACACACACAAACACACAAACAACCATCAACAGTACAGATAGATTTCAATGCCAAAAAAAAGTCAGTAAACAAATTTTAATCTTTTTATATCACTGCAAAACCTTTTTCAAACTCACTTCGGTGAGCAATCGATCAATTTCAATAGCAACCGTAAATTATTATGGATCTGGAACAATATACTTGAATGTAAACGATTGCATGTAAGAATTAATAAACTTCTGAAAAAAAACACAAAAAAAGAACATTGCTGTTGAATTCCTCCTCACTCTTTTTACTCGCAAAACTTATATCGATTTAACAAACTCCCCACGATTTTATCGTTATTAAAATAGCTGCATTTTCTTCCGTAATTTATTTCATATTTAGGCACATCCATTTGAGTGCTGTTGGTTATGGATTTATTGGTTTGAAAACTAATGAATTGATTTTGATTTAATTTGGAAAGAAAATACGTTTTCCATCAAGCCTTCACTTCTTCATGTGACTAACAAGTTTGGAAAAGCGAACTTGTGGAACGGGCGCGACTCGTTTTTCTGGCTGCGGTTTTGTGCCAGCTTCTTTCTTGGCCAACGTTTTGATTGGCCGTATTTCCACGGCATCATCGTCATCATCATCATCATAGACGCTACTCGCATTTACGGTGCTTGGTTTGGTCATACTTGAGTCTCTTGACTCTTCTTCATCACTTTCAGTCGTTTCCTCAGTCGATTTAATGCTCTCCTCTTCTTCTTCCTCATCATCTTCTTCTAATTCGCTGTCGCTAGAACGATTTCCCTGGCCTTTTATGTGCAAGTCTTTGTTAGGCGAACTCAACGACATTGTACTATTCGATAAGCTGGTACGCTTCAACGACTGTGGATTCGTTGCCAGTGCACTCATTGATTGTGAACGGCTTGTGGCTTTCAAATTATTCGACCCTTTGTTTAGGAACTTTTGTTCAAACTCCTGAAATTAGAACGTAACATTTTCAGTATGAAATCACTTTTCATTGAAAATTAACCGAAATCCGCTCGTATAAAAAATTTTTTTTGACCATACCTCCAAATCCTGATTTTCATCAATGGCAGCAACGTCGTTGTACATTGTCGTTAAGATTTCCATTGATTTTACACTCTCTTTCAACTGTATCAGTGTAAAATCAAGCAAAATCTGCCGAATATCACCGATCTTTTGTCGTTCGAATTGCAATAAATTCATTTCGTAGTCTTGACTAGATTTACTCTGTTCGGCTATTTGAGAATTTGAGTCCTTTTCGATAATCTATGGCAAATACAAAGATAAATACTCTATTTTATCGATTGATCTACATAAATGTATGTACAAAATGAGTTGTATCGCCTCATAAATTAGATCGCATTACATTCGAACATACCGAATTTCGTTGTTGAGTTCTATGCTTCAATTGTTCCTTTCCTCGAGCCAACAATGACTGTTTCAGAGTCTCTCTTGCATTTTTACATACATTCTCATAGTTTGCCACGTCGCGTAGAGTCTGTCAATATTAATTTTTAATGGAATTAATTTGTAACCATATCGATTTTTCATACAAAATGTCCAGTTTTTCAAACTATTGTTTGAAAATGGGTTAACTCAATTGAAATACATACTTTCAATTGAAGACGTTGAACTTCCATGTCCTTTGCATCAGCCAAAAATGTACACGATTTGGAGAAATTTAACAAACCATTGAACAAAGTCTCATTGAATCGTGCTGTATCTGTGTATCCTTTAAAAATGCGTGCTAGTTCATCATATTTATCTCGTAACCTTCATGAGTACGTGTAAAATCCAAAAAAATCAATTATTCAAAATATTCTGAATGAAAAATATCAATTCCGAACACCATACAGACCTTGCTTTCTTCTTCGTAAAACTCGACAGCTCTGAGCATAATTCTCCGAGGAAATTCTCTGTTGATTGAATTCGGTCAAAAATCATCTTTTTCCCGTCTTGTGGCATTTTCAACAAACGAATTCAATTTTTTTTTTCAGAAATTTGTGACTAACTACTCGAAACCACGAAAATTATTGTCGTATTATATTGAAAGAGTGGCGAACAAATGTCATTCGTTATTTTGTTTACCATATAGATCCATGGCAACCGATGACAGTTAACCAACCGGCAGGTGTTCCAATGAAAACATGTCAGAAAAAGTCATAATTTGTTTACATTTGATGCATTGTTTAACAATTAAACTTTATTTCCGTAGAAAAATATATTTTACTCGAGAAAATTAACATACTTTATGAGCGTATGAATGACTGAATTATTCAGAGAAATGAAATTTATTCCGATGTATCGGTGCTGCTATCCTCGGTTTCATCTTCCGCTTCAAAGTTGGACAGTTCCATTTCCATGGACATTTGCATGATTGATGTGCGAAGAGATCTCGTGGTGGGTCGCGATGTGGATGCAGCTGCCGTTGTAGGGTCGTTTACTTCTGGTGCTGGATCAATCGGTCCCATTGACGGTGATAACGGACTGATGTTTCGCTTGTTTTTAATTGTATTCAAAAGAGCCTGCGCCTCGATTTTCACATCGTCGTATTGCAAACATTTGTGTGCGTAAAGTGAAGCATCATCAAATGCGCCATTCCTTTCGTAGTAATTTCCAAGCGTAATGTAAGCACGGCACAACGATGCCTTATCGACAATTGACCGTTCGTCTTTACAAAATTCGATATAAACTGGCACTGCACTGTCGATGTCACCCAGTTTTTCGTACAGATTACCCATGCGAAGCAATGTCATACCTTCGATGTCACCCACATTGTAGGCTCGCTGATAGCACTTCAGTGCGTTTGAATATTGCTCCAATTTTTCATACGTTTCGCCGAGCGCAACCAACATTCGACTGTCATACGGACGCAACTCTTGGGCAATTTTGTAATAGTACAAACTGTATGACGGCATCTTGAGAATTTCGTATGCTTGACCAAGACCATACCAGGCACGATACTCACGGATGTTTACCTCTGTTTGAATGAGAATATGAATGACAAATTTCGCATTTTCAATCAAATATTTAATTTCAAATGATGGGAAAAATGTTAAGGTTATGTCATCTTACCGACTGCCTTGCGGTAGCTTTGAATGGCCGCATTCGTATTTTTGATTTCCATGAATTCATGACCCATCAATGTCCATGCCGACAAATATGTCGGATCCAACTTCAATGCCCGCTGGAAATAGACAACCGCTTTTGTGTGGTCTGAACGAATGCTGTAGTAATTTCCGATGACACAGCACGTTTCTGGCCGGTATTTGTTGATTTCCATCGCTTTGTGAGCCAACTCTGACATTTCCTTCTTCATCTCCTTCACGAACAACAAATTCGAATAAATATCCATATTGTCCAAGCGATACGGATCCATGTCTTGAAGGAGCTCATACTGTTCAATGGCTTTTTCAACACCTTGAAATAAACAATAGATTAATTAATACAAACTGATTTCTTCGACCAAAGACACCGCTTGCTTTGATGAACAACGCTTTGGTTTTAATTTTGTTAATGAATTCGAAGCAATTCATTCATTGAATTGATTTTCATATTAAAAATTACACCAAATCACTTACTTCTCTTATTATGGAATGCCTTTCCAATCTGTGCCACCATATATGTTGAGTTCTTGAATCCGGACCGTTGCAGTTCATTGTACAGCTTGATTCCTTTGTCACTCAATAGAAGTTCAACGTGTGCATGTGCCAAGAAAATGGCTTTCATCCAATGGTTGGGAATGTTTGCCGAGTAGATCTCGTCTTTGTCCGACAACAGTGGAATCAGTTCCAAATACGAACACCACAGCGTTGGTGCGGCGTTGATTGATTCAATGAATACCGATACAGCCAATTCCTTGAGATCGAGTTTTTTCAGCACAACACCATACAAATACAAGCAATACCCATCCAATTTGCGTTTCGAGTACAAATTGCGCAAAGTCACCATCAAATCGGATAAATCGCGAAATTGTCCGGACTCATTCAGATTGGCTTTATCGGTCATGTTATCCAGCCGTTTCTTCTCTTTCGACATGTACATGGAATAGAAGTACAAAAACCGTGGCACCGGCGACTGTGTGTTGCGTATGATATGCGCAGCACGGTCATACTCACGCAAATCGAAGTAGCTGCGAGCCAAATCGTATACATCCCGTTCCTTTTCAGCGATTCCATCGTTGTAGCAATTTTTCATCGCCTCCGACAAACTGTCCTTCTCCTCCGAAGCGGATGCATCTTCGGCTAGCAGTGTTGGATCCAAACCGATTTTCAATTCGGCCAACCAAACGGCTGTGTGTGTCAAACCACGTTTTCTACATTCAATTTGCGCCAACTGAATGTCACGTTTGATTTGACTCAACGACACGCTAAACAATGGCGCGTTCATTATGTTATTTCTAAGAAAAATACGACGACGACGACGACGACGAAGCAAAAAAAAAATTCCAACACAAAACAATCCTCCGGCTTCTACTGTCTGTCTGTTAAAAGTTTGAGCGAAACATTTCAATGTGACAGTTGTTGATGAGCTGTGGTGAGTATGTCAATGCATAATGGCTGATTCACATAGCGAAAGTATCATCTGTTCGGCTGTCACACCATCGTTCGTGTGTGTGTGTGTTTTCAAAACAACACTTCAAGTGAGACTTACTTTGTTTTTCTTGGTTGTACATATTTTGCTGTGTGCTCGAAAAAATCGTGTTGTTTTTTAAACCAACACAACTCAAAAGCCGATTTCACTGTTATCGCAGAAAAAATTGAGTGTATAGTCTGAACTGGTCAGACTGAACTCACTTCAGATTGAATCAAAGTGTGATGTAGAGTGAAAAAAAAGGTCGACGAGAGTTCACATCACACAAACACAAAGGAACATCACATACGGAAAAACGAACGAACGAAAGACAAAAAAAAAATAGAATTTGGTTCAGCCGACAAAGAACGATTGTGTGAAGCATATCTTTGAATGCGTGCAAAGCATAGCCGCCGCTGCATGTGTTCCTTTGTCTCTCACTTAGTCTAACGCCTGATGCGTTGCACACATCACAAATACTTCTTGCCATGACATTATCAAATTAAAGTAA